ACGCTCTTCTCTTTTCCTGATGGGCTTTAGAGAAAGAGGAACATCATTTGTAAGACAAAGTTTATATGCTGTCTGACATAGCACTGCTGCTGTAACCGGGCCCAAATGTATATACGTATGTGCGTGCGTGTGAAAGCTTCTACTTCTACTGTGGTGGGAATACTACAGAGATCACTAGTGAAAACTGAGAACTGAGACCACCTTTGGCAAAAACTTCTGAATTTAGAAATTAAGACAAGCACTGAAATTATGGGTTATTCTTGTACAAAACGTAGGCAGACATGCTGCTGGTGTAGCATAAGGTCCACAACTGGGAAATCGACACATGTAACTACCAGTGATCTCACGTTTCAAGATTAGCAAACCTGGGAGAATTATTTTTCATATTCATACAGTCTCTAGTGTAAGCATATTGCTCTTCATTTAGAACTGAAGGAATAAATGTGACAAAACCAAAATGTATTTTTGTAAAAGCCTTACGTACAATCTCATCCAGGTATTAAATTGTATGATGTTACCATGCCTGATACGTACTAGTTTACTTTACGCTTTCTTTGCTGTTTGATAAGAGCTGAAGTCTCAAGACCTGAGGTTTCCTAATAAACAAGAAGCATGTCAGTCAGGATCTGACTAAACATTCGGATGGAGGGGAGAGGAGAAGGAGGAGGGAAGCTTTCTGCTTAACTGCTTCTTTAAATTTTTATTATTTTTATATACATACATTTTATATATATATGTATATATATACACACAATGTCTAAACAAGCAGGAAAGCATAATTATGCTTCAAAATAAGGCGCAGTAAAAAGGGAAGTTAATACACACACACAAATCCGTAGAAGAGACTAGACTGTAAAAATGAGTTCTTAAAAACAAGTTTCAAGATTCATCTTAAATTTTCACTCTTATAAGAACACAGTATTACATCTTGCACTAGGACAAAGCTCCCTTATAAAGGCTGGACTACTTTAATAGTTTTAAATTCTAATCTTGTTTGCTTCATTCCAGGAATTATGTTTATGCAGTATGCAGCCAGCCCAGTAAGACTGATTTAACTGCCTCTGGTCCCATATTCAAAAGCCAGCAGACAGCTTCTTCACAGTCCTGTTTCAGAAAAAATTTTGGGCGTTTATTCCCTCTGACCAAATTTAACACTTAAAAATACCTCTGCTGCCTAGACTCTGACAATGTCTAAGGCCCATCGGCTCAATTTACTCTCAGGCAATCCTGAGGGGATTGCAGTAAGCCAGAGGTAAAGCAGTAAGCCGGAGTTGTGTAGTTTCTGTCCTGTATAAAAGCTGTTGGAGATGCAGCTTTTCACTCCAGCTCATCTATCGCTGAGAACCATTTAATGGCCTTCCTCTGAGAAACTCAAGTTTGAAAGTCTGTGGAGTGTTAGCCAATCCAGGAGTCAGACAGTTTTGGGGGGTTTTTTTTGTTTTGTTTTAGTGAAAACAGCAGGATATTCCTATATGCCATTTCAGCCACTGCTTTAGCTAATGGTTCTGCAAATGAAGGTTTACTTTGAATTACTTCAGTGCAATCATTAACCACTTGGCTTGGAAACCCACTTTCCATAGTCTGAGCCAAAAATGTTTCCCAACTGTTCCACTTGAGGCCCTATATCCAGGAATAAAACTGAAGCAGAGGGAAAAAGCCTTAAACAGGTCTGCTGCAAGACACATCTGAGCACTTTGTAAAAATCACCTCTGATAAAATATCTATCACAAGCTTACAGAAATTATGGATCTTCATGCTGAACCTTCTCTTGGGCACAGGCCACTTGAAACTTAAGTGCAATCAGAGAATAACCATTCCACTTGCATACGCAGGGATGTGACACAAGCAACATGCACACATTCCAGCAATGAATAAGAAATTAGCATTTAGCTTATGTTAATGTAGTTGTGCAAGCCACATAATCAGTTGGGTTCTTCTCCTCGAAATACTTAATAAATAAAGCCTCAATTCTAAAGAAACTTTAAAGTCTGTTCTCACAATTGCTTTCAAGACAGAAAATAATTCAGATCTGCTTTTCAGTGCAGACCAGAATATTTGAAACTGACTTTCATTTGGACGTTTAACTTAATTTATAAGCTGCCACATATCCAGAGTTTTAAAATATATTTGCTTTACAACGTAAAGCATTGCCATAAGTACCAGAGTTGAAACCCAATCGATATCTAACACTTCAAGGAACACATGGATTTTGCACAAACCTCTAGTTTCTAGCTTGATGCGATACAGTAGTACCACCAGTACAAAAAGAAAAAGCTTAAAAAGCGTTTGTTAAACGGATCTCATGCTTACAGGTTGCTTCCAGCAGGACCCTGAAGTGGGTAGCGGAAGGAAAGCACAAGAGTGGAACAAATGTGAGAGCAAGTAAAAATGCCTGATTTCCCAAGAGCAAATTCAATAGTCTGACACTTTGGAAAACCAGAACTTGCTAAGTAGTCTTTAAATTACTGGTTGAAAAGAGTACAGTATCAATTACCTGAAGAACTGAAGATTAAAGAGTGACAGAACAGAGAGCCTGAGACAGAAATCAGATGCAGTAGCTGATATTACTGAAATAAATATTAAGGAACTATTAGTGTTTTGCCAGGATTTTTCCTCTAGCCATAGATTTATCAGTAAGACTTATTACATATGGAAGTCTACTTCACCTCCATGTGTCAAGGACCTGTACTGTCCATTAGCTCAGAAGGAAACTGTCTGAATCTGACAGACAGCCACTCTGAGGAGAATGCCAAGCTAAAGAAACATCTTACTAAGTAGAAATCCTTCTCTATGTACAAGAAGGTAGGGTCACATCTGTGGGTAGCTGCTTCTTGGCCTATAGTGGCTAGGTTTATTCATTCTGTGAACCTGACTGAAAAAGGACATGATCTCTTGAAGTCTTTCTGTGAGAGACCAAGGCACCCAGTAATTTAACAGATGCCTGAAGGAAGTTTAATTTAAATAAAGTGCATATTTTGGTTTCGGAGCAAAGTGGTAGGCACTGAAATGCAAAACGTTTCTAAAAAAAGAAAAAAAAAAAAAAGAGTGAGAGAGAGCGAGAGAGAGACTTAAACAAGGCAGAATTGCTCCTAAAAACACAAGAGCATAAGCTTCAATATAAAACTGCATAATGAAATTCAGTTTCTCCCTGTAGTTTCTCCTGAGGTAGGGATTACTCACCATAGGTTTGGCAGACTAATAACTCTGAGAACACTGATGCATTAAAGGCAATCTATTTTTGTGCAGAATAATTAAACTTTTTTGCATAGCATGAGAGTACCACGGTACAGAATAGGTACCTATAGCTGGAACCTATGTTAAGTCAAACAGAAATAACAAAGTGTTACCCTGACTTCCCGCCCAGCAAATGACTTTCAATGTTTCACCTTTTAAAACAAAAGCCCTATCACTCGCTCTGCCAATTTAAGTTGACAAGTCAAGAAACCAGCTAAGGAAAAATGTAAGAAGCATAATAATACAAAGTGGGCTAGAAACCAAATTCTGAAGTGGTCATCTTGATGGTAAGCAGGATGTTGCATAAAGCTCAACAGAAGAGCCTAGTGCAAGTTTCCAGTCTGCCTTTTTAATATTAATAGTTATAACATGAAGAAGTGATTCATAGCCAAGTATGAAATCAGAGAAACTTCTGTGACAAGGAGACCTGAAAAGCAGCATTTTCAGTAAAACTGTATTCTTCTACTTCTCTCTCTTTTGAGGTGCCATGCTGTGTATAAGAGCAACACTCCTGTCAGAGTCTACACCTCTTTAGCAGCTTTCTGTGTTCTTTGACTTTCAGTCTCCAGCTACCGTGCCAGGTCTATGTCAACATGGGATTCAAAAATGGACGGCAGAATTCTTCCTCTCATACTTCGAGAGACCTGGCATTGATGACAACTGCTGTCTGCATGTCAATGAATGAGGTCATTCTTCAGACTGTTTGTAGCAAATCCAGCTCGAATGAAAGCTATTCTATTGAGCGACCAGGTAAACTTGCAATATGGCTTCAATCTGGGGGATCATCTAACCAGTAAGAATTATTACATTTTCTGAAATTAAGTGCTGAAGATTCTCCTGCTCAGGAGAACACTAACAGAAGCATTAAAGTATCTTCGAGAGCTACTGAAGGAAGTAGTCATTTTGGAGTCTATAAACTCTTAAGGCAGACAGACAAACATAATTTTTAATGTATTTTTATGTACATATGTACAGTTAATGAAGAAAATTCACTCTGTCACAGATGTAGAAATGAGGTGCAAATCTTTTTATCCAGCCAAGCACATGTTTCACTGTATAGCCACTGGAGGGCCAGCTGACATTAACGGAATGGCAAGTTGTGGGCAGAGTACTGGAGAGAAATAGCATACCTCATTGCATCCACTTCACACACAACTCAGTGCTACTCCACACAGCTGCGGGTCTTGCAAAATGTCCCTGCATGCCACAGACTAGCTATACCACATGAAAAAAAATCATTTGGCTCCAATGATTTACAGCACAGAACTACCTATAGGCATCTCAGAAGTATGAAGTAGTTTTAAAGACAAAAATGCATCAAGATGTAATTGCTGTGAAAGATCAACACTAAGACAAACAGTCAGAAAGAATCAAATTTAAGACTAAGACAATTCTTATTTTGAAAGCATCCAGGTTTAATATTATTGTTTTGCTATTTTGGGTTAAAGCATAACGTAAAGAAGGATAAATTTATTTTTGTGTCCAAACTTCTATTTCATTCACTGCAGATATTCTACATACACAGAAAATGAAAGCTTCTGCCAGAGGAAGTATTCTCTTGCAATGTAAAAGTACTACAGAAGCGTTCAGAACTCTCACAAGATTTCCTATACGATCCTGGACACATCAAACTAACAGCTCACTCCATATCTGACACCGAATTGCATGGTTTTGCTTCTGCTTGGTTATGTTTTGTTTTAAATGTTTGAGACATGTCTGTAGCACCTGATAATAGTGGATCTGTAGACAAGCCTTTTTGGTGAAACTGGATGGTGAAAAAACAGCAGTCGGCACAGACAATGGTAAGCCTTAAGAAAAACCTGAACAACTGCCATCTAAATACTAACTGGGTTAAATAAGCAAGGATGCTAAATGAACAGCTTAATAATCATGAGATATATTCTGCTGCAATTAATACTCAGATTTCAAAGTTACAAATACAGTCTTAGTTCCTTAGTTTTATCATTTCCTGATTGCGATGTGTATATATCTATGCAATATAAAGCTGTGTTAACTACGCCTCTAGGCAAAAGCACAGTGTTTTTATTTTTAATACTCAATAATTAATATTAAACCTAAACATCGTCTCTGAAGCATTACCATAGAGAGCACTTTTCATTAGTAAATAATTAGTTTGGTTAAGTTAGACTAATTTGTCTAACAAGGCAATGCTGCTCAACCACTACTGTTCATTGCATTAGTAAACACTGTTTGAGCGTTGTGAAATAATTTTTCAGATAAACATTCTCCCACTATAGCAAAATAGCTACCTGTAGAAGAAATGCATATTCCCCACCACATGCAACATATTTAAATCTTTTAATGAAATCTGATTAATAAAGTATGAACAGATTAAAAATAACATAACAGATCAAAATATTCAACAGCCTATCACATTAACTCAAAACCGTTACAACAAAAGACAGCTATACTGGTGAAAAAAAGACACAGCTGATGAGCTCTAGAAATGGAGTTTATTGCTTCCCAAAAAACGGAACTCCAAAAGGTTATCAGAGCCCTAGTAATATACCAGTTGTTGCAAATCACTGTCTGAGCATACACTTTTTCACAGGTATTAGAACACTCTTAGTCACAGTATTTTAAAACGGTTACCTGCTACTTGTGCCAATTTATCATGAAGTGCATATAAGCTGTTCATCATGAGACTTATTTCATCTTCCTAGAATTAGGAAAAAAAAAAAAACATTAACATTAAAACAAATCTTAGAAGAGAATCATTTTCTTCCATTTACCCCGAAAAGTTTAACATCATCAGGAAAAGCAGTTTTTTATACAGCTAGACAGCCATAGTATTTCATGCATCAACAATGACGTATGGAACAGATTTTGAATCAGAGTATTTACAATATCTTTTTTTCAGATTTTGACTGAAACTAAACTAAATTGCTACCTGTACTCCAATGGACCTGTCAGTTAAAACTGACAACTCTGAAGGTTGTTTTAACAAACTTCAAGCTCAGTTGAAAAAAATCAAGATAGCTCTGGTCTAAAAAATCTTCTTCACACTTCCTACATAAGCTACTAGTATAATAAGACCTATTTCCCAGAACAGGCATGAAAATGAAATATGTAATTGTTATTTGAAGAAAGGCAAGCTTCTTTACTAAGATATTGAATAGTATCAAGATGCATTTTACTCAGAACAAATTATTCAAGATTTGAAGGTGAAGAATGTGCACTTACACACACCAAATACCGAAGGCTCTTCTTCTAAAAGTTTTTTTGAACCTGGCTCTGACACAAGTGGCCAAGTCAAACGGCTGAGATAAGACTACAGTCTTTATTCAGAAAATATGCCAAGAAAGTTGTTTTCCATTGTTTAGATGTGAGATCAACAGATGTCCAAAATACTGAGTATATTTTTAGTATAATTCCTTGATGCAATAGCACCAAGTTGGACAACTTTTAAAATAAAACTGCTACCAAAAACCAGAATACTTCTTCTCATTGATCAAACCTTTGACAAATTAATTCACACAGGCAATGCCAAAAATGATCAGCACTACCTCTGGTATTTACAGGCACTTAGTCCTACAAAACTGTCACTAGCTAACCTTGTTAACTCATTTCCTGACTGGAAAATATTGGGCATGACAGAAGAGGAAAATCTATTCCACCTCTACATAGCCACTACTAACACCCACTCAATACAAACCTAAAGAACAACAGTGCTCTAAGCTCAATTTATCTGTTACTGGATACCCGTAACTTCACTAATGTATACAATGAGACAGATACCTGCACCATTTTTGAGTGAGCTCTTATTTCATAAATTAATGGATGGACTACTTAAGGAATTGTTCATAGCTAACAATCAAGCATAGAGTAAGATTACTATGGAACAGCAGACAAGACTCACAGAAGAAAAACAACAAACAAAACAGGTTCTTAAGCAGTTGCATCCAATGTGCAAGGCTCCTTCTCCCTGCACTATTAAAACATCATTCTGAAAGAATTTTCAGAATTTCCTTTAAAAAATTAAATTTGCTCAAAACACTCAGAAATGTTTTCTTCCAAGGGACTAGCCATGGCTACCCACTGAAAATACGTAACAATTCACTTTTTGAAGAGCTCAGTTCTAGACAAAAGCAATAAAAACAAAAAAAAACAAACAAAAGAAATCCACACAATTTGTCTTGTGGTACTTGCAAATGCCTAGAGAAAGCAGATCACTATGTTTACAGTTCAGGCAGAAAAACTGGAGGCCAGAAGAGAGGACCACCAAAATAAATGCTGCAAAACTGGGAACAACAGAGGCACCTTTAATGGTGACATCTCAAACAGGTTATTCATTCTTCCAATCAGAATATTAGGATATAAGAATAAGCAATAAAAGAAAAAAAAGTGAAACAGACAAGTTATCTGACCCATTTTCTAAAAGAAGCTAACTTTTGCTCTTCTGTGCCCACTAAATGAGATCAAGGAGCTTGAAGTCAGTCATCTCTTATCAGCTGTCCTTTCAAGCTTGAGAAGCCACAATATGTACATGAACTAGTAAGGGACAAACTGATAAATTCAGTTTCAGAACTCTCATGACAGTACAATTTCTCCTCATAGTTCTGCAACAAAAATTATGCAACATTTTATATAAAATAACCAGCATAAGAGGCAGCAAATCTTGTAATGTTAGTTACACTGCCAGAGATTTGGGGGGTTGGAGGGGAGAGGGGAAGAAACACACACATACAAGTTAAAACATTAAGTAGCAAGAAACGTATTAAACTCATGCAAAACATGCTGAAATTGCACCTTTCTGTAATTATTTGACAGAATAAAATCTCAGTATTAACCGTTTTACTTACTTGTATTTTTTGCAGTTTTCCACTGAAGGGATTTTTAACTATCAAAAAAGAAAAAAATAATAATTCATTCTACAGTCTGAAAATGCTAAAGTATATCTATATTCTAGTTTTATAACAGTTTGTTGTATCCCTTAGATAAAAGCTAACAAATCCGTAATATGACAAACAATCAGACAGCTATTAACACTTGACTTAACTGCACCTTTTATATTGTACTATGCCGGCAGTTGCATTTCAGTCTTGTACACCTACAAATTTCCTATTATTTCTGTGCAAGCAAAAACCAGTTCTGGGCTTGTCATTTGCTAAGTTCTTGCTTTAATTACTCAAATACATTGAAATCTTAACGCTTAAGTTTCTACACACTTTTAGCATTGTTTAACACACAAGTAAAAATGAAGTTTTTTTACTAAAGGATAATCCACGCAGCACAAAGCTGTACAACTCATCAGCATTATCTGTTTTGATGGGAGTAAGAGATGACACAATGAGAGCCTAGGTGAAGAGTACAATGTGTCTAAATTCCCTCCTTTCTAAATAAAAGTTTCCACAGCTCACAAAAATGTAAGCTTATCTAGTATATTCTTCCTGATTATAGCAATAACTTCTTCAAGCTGAAACTAGACAAGTAATTTGTGCCACACTTTCAGTTTTTAAGAATGACTGAAAAGTTAGGAAGGGAGGAAGCAGTCACCACTAAAACTTATTGTCTTACCTTTCTATGATACAAGCTGTTTCACACACAGTTTGGCCTTAGGCAGAAATTAGCGGTTCTATGTCCTGTTGAAACAGGAAACAAAGCTTCTACTGGCCTTAGTCCACACCAAGCACAAACACATTAAAAGAAAAGTCCTGGGAAATCTGAAGGTCGAAGGTCTAGGCAGTAAATCTCATCACTTTGATGTTAGCAAGCAGACTAAAAACAGGTAGCACTTGAAGGGGCATGGCTCCACATAGAGTTACTTCATTTCATACCAGAAGTAGTGGAAGGTAATCTTCTTTTGGAAGTATTCTAGATCTGACGCATTTGCACAGAGATTATTTCTGGAAGAAGTCTCTGGGAAGAATTGTGTGTTTTAAAATCCTGCAGTTCAATTTGCAACACCAAGACGGAGTAAAACACAAGTAGTATCTTACATAGACAGTGTTCGAAATATGTAATACCATTTACTCCAGTAAATACATTTCCATTCCCCCAAGCTATTCTAAATAATGTACCCTGCGTTATGTAATGCTTTATACTGAGGCTCTGAAAAGATGGAAGCAATAT